TGCCACTTCCATACACCAGATCTTCACCAATAAATGATTCACTCAAATAAGGAGTGATTTTTTTGGATGCTCATTCCCTCCGTATCTCATGTTGAAATGTAATCCTCAACGAGGTGGGGCCTAGTGGGAAGTATTTGGGTCACGAGAGTGAAAGCTTCAGGAATGACTTGGAGCTGTGCTCACAGTAATGAGTGAGTTCTCACTCTAGGAGTTCATGTGAGATTTGGTTGTTTAAAAGATCCATGGTGGCTCACACCTGTAATCCCAGCGCTTTGGGAGGCTGAGGCAGGAGGACTGCTTGCGCCCAGGAGATCGAGACCAGCCTGGGCAACAGAGAGAGACTCTGTCTCTACAAAATATAAAAAATTAGCAGGGTGTGGTGGTACACACCTGTAGTCCCAGCTACTTGGATGGCTGAGTCGGGAAGATCACTTGAGCCTAGGAAGTCAAGGTTGCAGTAAGCAACGATCACACCACTGCAATATAGCCTAGGTGTCAAACCAAGACCTTGTCTCGAAAAATAAAAATAAATAAATAAAACATAAAAAAATAAAAATGAAAGAGGTACCTCTTCCCTCTCTCACCATGTGGTTCCCCTTTGCCTCCTGCCTCCTCTCACACTGGTACCCCTCTGCCTTCTGCCATGATTATAAGCTTCCTCAAGCCATCACCAGAAGCAGATGCCAGCACTATGCTTCATGTACAGCCTGCAGAACCATGGGCCAATTAAACCTCTTTTCTTTATAAATTACCCAGTCTCAAGTATTCCTTTACGGCAATGCAAATGGACTAACAGAAAACTGAAACTGAAGGGTAGGGCAATACTATAAAGACACCTGAAAATATGGAAGCAGCTTTGGAGCTGGGTACCAGGCAGAGGCTGAAAGAGTTTGGAGGTCTCAGAAGAAGACAGGAAGATGAGGGAAAGTTTGCAACCTCTTACAGCCTTAAGTGGTTATGACCAAAATGCTGACAGAAATATAGACAGTGAAGGCCAGGCTGATGAGGTCTCACATGGAAATAAGGAAGTTGTCAGGAACTGTAGTAAAGGTCATCCATATTATGCCCTAGCAAAGAACTTTGCTGCATTGTGTCCAAGTCCTATGCATCTGTGGAAGTTGGAACTTAAGAGTGATGACTTAGGGTATCTGGTGGAAGAAATCGTTAAGCAACAAAGCATTCAAGATGTGCTGTGGCTGCTTCTAACAGCCTATGATCAGATAGATGTGGGAGCAAAGGAATGACTTAAAAATTGGGACTTATACTTAAAGGGAAAGCAGAGTCTAAAAGTTTGGAAAATGTGCAGCCTGGCCATGTGGTAGAGAAGAAAAGAGCATTTTCAGGAGAGGAATTCAACCAGGCTGTAGAGCAACAACTTGCTAGAGAGGTTAGCATGGCTAAAAGAGAGCCAAGTGCTAATAGCCGAGACAATGAAAAAAAGGCCTTAAAGCCATTTCAGAAGTCTTTCAGACTGCCTGTCCCACCACAGGCCCAGAGGCCTAGAAGGAAAGCATAGAAAGTAAGCTGTCTTCCTTATTTTTCTCTTTTAATAGCACTCTTTGTTTTGTTGTTGTTGTTTTGTTTTAAGCACTCAACTGAGTGACTTTTAAATTGAAATCAGAAGGAAAAGAAGGTAGCTAGGTAACAAGTTGCAGTTAGATGAAGAAGAGAGTATTTCAGACAGCAGAAAGAGTTTGGAGGAAGGGAAAGAACCTAAAATAGGAAAGATCCTGAGCAGTTGGAGGAACTAAAAGAAAACCAGTATGGCTGAAATGTACTAACGCAGAATTTGACTTCCCATTCCCAGCAGATTAAAGTTCACATGCTTATCAAGAACCTTCACATTCTGGCCCCAACCTATCTTTCCTACTCCCTTTTATATTACTTTTCTTCATCTGCAACCCACTCTTGACTACTCCAGATTACTTCCATTCCTACCTACCACAGATCACATATTTCATACCTCTATGCCATTATTCATGCTGTTTCCTCTGCCTAAAATATTCCTTTTTTGAAATCTTTCAGATCCCATCAGGCATAATTTATCTCTCCATTCTTTGTAACTCCAGAGTACTTTGTATATAACTCTTCCACTACATTTCTAAGACTGATTTATAATTATGTACACACTTGTTTTCTCCACAAGATTATGACTATAAGCCATGTCAGTTATTTTTATATCTCCTTCCCTGATCTTTCAAACATAAAATGCAGTGCTTAGTAAATGTGTGCTGATTTAATATGTTAGTATTAGGTTACAGCTATATTGTTTTTAACTACATCATACTAGATTATTAGTATTAAATTAAATTACAAAGAATGTGTTCCATAACAATAAATAGCTTATCATCATAACCAATTTTGTGTAGAAAACCAATAAGGATTACAGTTGAGAAGTAAAAAAGTATTCCTTCAAGATCATTGAAAGTAAAATGGACTAAGGACAGTTCCCCTAAAAATTACTAAGTCATGCCCTATTGTTAAGTTTTCTTGTCACAGTTAAGAATAATCTGAAGATAAAGGAAAAACATGTTTACCACTTTTAAAACAGAAGAGGCAGAATTACTTAATAAGGTCTTCTGAGTGATAATTATTCCAACATTAGTTGGATATAACAACAGCCAGATACAGTCATAGAAATGTGCTAACCTCTTTTTCCCCGAGTACCATTCAATGAAGAACCAATGTAAAACCAGAGGAAGCATTGCCATAAATCCAAGATAGAGCCAATCATAAAGTTCAGGAGATTCTGTGCAAGGCTGACAATATTTCTGTGCATTTGTTCTCTGTCCTCTTGGGCATACCTACAATATATAAAACCAGTATTTTGTGTACAGATATTATTTTAGAATATTAACACCCCCCCAAATCATTCTATAAGACATCCCATTTCAGTTTAAATATTTAAGTTTACATGTGCAGCTTTTAGAACTAAAAAAGGCATAAGTAAAATAAAAAGAAATCTATATTGTATGTGCTATATTTGTACAATGCTCTTAAAAGATTCCTTTTACTAAGTTACTAAAATAGTTGACTAACATTCAATGAAAAATCTAGTTATGAACATTATATAAGAATAATTGCAGATAAATGTTCTGGATTCATGATGTTCAACTTACTGTACAAGACACGGTACTAAATCATAAATTAGAAATTATTAAATTATTAAATGTTTTAAAAAATAATAGACATCAAATGCCAACATAAACAATGACTACATTAATGCCTCCATATTCTTTTATACTTCTTTATTTTATTTTTTTTTTGAGATGGAGTCTCCCTCTGTTGCCCATGCTGGAATGCAGTGGTGCGATCTTGGCTCCCTGCAACCTCCACTTCCTGGGTTCAAGCAATTCTCCTGTCTCAGCCTCCCGAGCAGCTGGCACTACAGGTGCACACCACTATGCCCAGCTAATTTTTTTCTATTTTTAGCAGAGACGGGGTTTCACCATATTGGTCAGGCTGGTCTCGAACTCCTGACCTCAAGTAATCCACTCGCCTCGGCTTCCCAAAGTGCTGGGATTACAGGTATGAGCCACTGCGCCTGGCCCTCCATATTCTTTTATAAATTAGTGAGTATAATAAGAAAAAATATTCTACATGTGAAAATATTTCAAAAGCAAACAGATTTTACAACATGAAATAAGACACAAACATAAGACTTACCCCACATTCTCCATATATTTCAGTTGAGCCGTTTTTAAATAATAGGGTCTTCCCACAATAAAGTCCAAGGCATGCTGGTTGGATATCGACAGCTTTTTAAAAACAAATGCCAGTATAGTAACATCTTTTGTGATTATAAAAAAAAATGCAATAATAGCTGAAGCACTTGGCAGAAATAACAGTTTCAAAATTTTAAATAACACATATTAGACAAAAGTCTTCAAGCATTTTTAAATTTAAATTTCTCCTTTTACACTGTGACACTGCAGACAGTTATTCTGGAACCTTGCTGTTAATACTGTGCCTTATGATAAAGGTCCTCAACCAGCAGAGCAGGATCTATCCCCAGGACTCAAGGCCCAACCCGGTACGATCAGAGGATACTTTTGAGTTTCACTGACTATAAAGTTCAAATATACATATATTTTTAAATTACAGCACCAGTAGAGGGTCACCAGCTTCTATTTTGCCCAGTCAGGACATTAAGCACCCACATGTAGACATACAATTGTCATCTATGTTCATAACAGAACACATTTTCACATGGGAAAAGCAGAGAACATAATTTCAGAACAGAGGTACATAAATTACCTTTATAAAAAGCTTCCTACTTTGTCCTAGCTTTTATCATTTTTGTGGAGGATAAGTGAAAATTTCATCAAGGCTGTCATTGGGCAAATATTTAGGAACCACTGCCTTAAAATTAATCCCCTGATCTAAAGGCTTAGGGGAAAAGCTGCTATTCCTTACATAAAAAACCCCAACAACTAAGAACCTAATACGTTGTCTTTGACCTTATTCACAAGAAGAAATTATGGAAGGAGTTTTCTTCATCAGTGACATCTGATTCCCTTCATTCATTCATTGATTCATCCAATAAACATATACTGAGCTTGATTCCACTGGTTAGGGGCCACTAAAAGTCCAAGGAGAAACAGAATTCCTGCCAAAACCCTACAATCTAATGTGGATTAAAACAAACAGGTTGGGTGAGGTGGCTCACGCCTGTAATCCCAGCACTTTGGGAGGCCGAGGTGGGCAGATCACGAGGTCAGGAGTTCGAGACCAGCCTGGCCAAAACGGTGAAACTCCGCCTCTACTAAAAATACAAAAATTAGCCAGGCGTGCTGGCGCACCTGTAGTCCCAGCTACTCGGGAGGCTGAGGCAGGAGAATCACTTGAACCTAGGAGGTGGGGGTTGCAGTGAGCCGAGATCGTGCCACTGCACTCCAGCCTGGGCTACAGAAGGAGACTCCTTCTCAAAACAAACAAACTGTGGTCTACATGTGAATTAATTTGAAAAAGTATGCATCTTTGACTATTCTTGAACAATCATTTCCAAATTATTCACAGATTCACAATCCAGACTGCCTGGTCTACAGTGCCCTCTCTCCTTTCACGTTCAAGTAGACTTTTTATTTCCTTCTCCTTATGCTGCTGAGAGAAAAAGAGAAGCAGCATTGATTAAAATTCCTCAAGTTTAATATTTTCGCTTTTAACAAATTTCGGACTTAGCTTTTTAAACCCATTGGCCTCTTTAATGGGCGCTTTTTTTTTGTAATCCATTGTAATCACAATGTTCTAAATTAATACATGAAAATGAATTATGTTTCAGGTTTTTCAAGAATGCAGAAGTTAAGGAATTGGAAACTTCTGTATGGGTTTTACATCTAGTAGATGCTTAATAAGTACATGTGAATATCAATAATCTAAAGTTTCTCAAAATCCAAGGCCTGAAAACCAGTATGATAAACTGAACTGAAATAAACAGCCTATCACCTACTAAACAAAACCCAGGCTCCAAGTGACTGTGTAATTTCCCCTTTCATTTCCTTTAGTGAACGATGGTTAAAGTTTTAAGATTCTATTTTTTTGCAGCGGTCTTGCCCCTTTGTGACGGGCCCTACAAATCTACGTTTGAGGTTGAAGCAGGAGACAAATTATGCAGCAACTTGCTTCTGCTTTAGTTTTTTCTGCACTATCACCCGCGTTTTCAATTCTGAAGTCAACCCTCATGCAAGTGTTCCCTTCACATTGAACTAAGGGACTGAAGGGACATTTCGGACCAAACAACAAAGACCTGGCCTTTCCGCCGCAGACAGCGCGCCTCCCCTGGCAGCCCGTCGGGGACAGAGACCACCCCAACCCGGCAAGAGTGCGGGGCCCGGCCCGAGGGCGGGCGGGGTCAAGGGGCGAGCCTGCGCCGCCAGCTGAAGGCCGCCTACAGAGAGCCGAGCCCGAGGCTAGCCGTGTAGGAAAGCAACCAGGACTACCAGAAACAACCAGGACTTCCCGGGATCTTGGCGACCACTCACCCATGGGCCGCCTGAAGGTTTTTTTCCAGAAGCACTAGACCAGCGGATCTGGCAGCTGCACCGAACATCCGGGCCACAGCGAGCTCGGCGGCTCCGCCTCCCAGTAACCTGAGCAACCGCTCCGAAGTTCCTCCCCCATTTCCGGGTTTAGGCTCCGATGTCCCGCCCCACGAGGGGTCGCTGCTTCGCGTCCCGCCCTCCTCGCCAGGAGTCAGTGGGTAGGGGTCGGGCTTGAAGTCATCGCTGCAGGACGGTTCTTGTGTCCCCGGACGCAGACCATGGAGAGCGCGCTGGCGGTGTCCCGGCTGCCCCCGCATGATCCGGGGACGCCGGTGCTGTCGGTGGTGGACATGCACACGGGCGGCGAGCCCCTGCGCATCGTGCTGGCTGGGTGTCCGGAGGTGTCCGGGCCCACCCTGCTGGCCAAGCGGCGCTACATGCGCCAGCACCTTGACCACGTGCGGCGACGGCTCATGTTCGAGCCCCGAGGGCACCGGGACATGTACGGGGCTGTCCTAGTGCCGAGCGAGCTGCAGGACGCGCACTTGGGCGTCTTGTTCCTGCACAACGAGGGCTACAGCTCCATGTGCGGCCACGCAGTGCTGGCGCTGGGCCGCTTCGCCTTGGACTTCGGGCTTGTGCCGGCGCCCGCTGCGGGCACCCGCGAGGCCCGCGTCAACATCCACTGCCCGTGTGGGCTGGTGACCGCCTTCGTGGCGTGTGAGGACGGCCGCAGCCACGGCCCGGTGCGCTTCCACAGCGTCCCGGCCTTCGTGCTGGCAACAGGTAACGGGCGGGACCTTTCCAGCCCAGGGCAGAGCTGCAACCGGGACGCAACTAACAACATTAACGGTGTCTCTAGGCTGGAACTCTCGCAACTAACCCATCCCGCGTGCCCTTGCAATTAATAAAAAGGTAAATCACTGCGAACGTGTGTCAGCAGTCTTGCGTATTTGCTTGGTGCGTGCAATTTTTGTTTTCCCTGACTCCCGTCCGCCTGAGGTTTTGAGAGACCCTTGAGGAGTGAGGAATTCCGTGTTACCCTGACTCAATGCCTCCTTCTGCACTGGTGAGGCGTTCCTAGAGATTTCACCGGTGGGTAAAGCAAAGTACGGTCAGGGTCAAGGAAAGAGCGAAGAACAGCCAATGTACCAGGGTTCCAGGCTGGCTCAGAATATGCTTGGTAGACACAGAATCACAGTAAGTTACTAAACCTGGTCTCCTTTCCTCACCTCCCCCACTTCTTTGAGGAAGAATTAAATGAGAAGGAATGAACAAAGCAGTTTATAAATCATTAAGATACGAATGTTGCTTTTCTTTAAGAACAGGAACACACATTGCCTGGTGTCAAATCCTGATAACCCCCTAAAGCTGTGCAACCTGAGGCAAATTACTTAATCTCTCTGTGCCTGTTTCTTACCTCGTAGAGTTTTTTGTTAGGATTAAATGAGAGTGTGCAAGATACTGTATTCCTGGAGATAGATGGCAAGGTATATATGATTGCTAAAGTTCCCTAGGCCTATTGTGCCATTAAAAGGTTTTGCTGGATTCCCTAGTACAGATCCTTGTACAGCTTATGTAAAGCAGGGCCTCTGTATAACCATAACCCTTACACGAGGGAGATCCCTCATGGGGATGACCTGGCAAGTTGGCATCTGGTTTCTCATGTGAATACTACCTCCTGGGGGCCGCAGTCTATCAGTAAGAATGCTTTAGTCGTTGTGACTGGAAGTGAGCCAGGAGCCAGTTTACCAGGAACAGAGTTATCCTTCTCTTAAAAATCTTAAGCCATGCAAATCATCTGTTAGAAAGTTGGACCTTGATTCCCCCTGAAGAACTAGGTTTCAGATTAGCCTGATTATGAATGATAAGTAATAAAACAGGCACTTTTAGAGCAACCTCAGGCAGCTGAAACCCACAAGTTAACGAAGAATGCCTCTGGAGAAATTGATGCCATTTTCCCAGAGAATGGTGTCACTTCCAGATTGGGAGGCCACTTGAGGGAGACAGAATTTATGTTTAAGATTCCATTTTTAAAACCTCAACAATTTAACTAGCGTGGTTACCAGAATTCCCCGCAGGCAACTACAGCAGCAGATTAGAAACACTCTAGACTTCTGTGGGAAATGGCAGCCGGCAGCAAGAACACAAACTACATCACATTTCTGGGTCAGTTAGGGCAGGGTCAGTCAACCACTTGACCTCAGTAGTTCCTCTCAGTAGTTCCTGAAAGCATCAGTGTGTGACTACGATAATTAATGGGCATTAATGGTAACTGAGTTAAGAAAATGAAATGCTATATTCTCTACTTTGAAAAATGTATACAAGGCAGACATAGAGTTCAAGGTCACTGCCCCACCTCTCCCCATCTCAGTGACCTTGTGCTAGAGTTCATACCTCAGTATCACAGTCTGTAAAATGAGGATGACAATAGTACCCACCTCGGAGGGTTGCTGAGTTCTTCTCCACCCCACTGGGCTAAAATGCAAACTCTTTTTTGTTCACAGTATTCTAGGTCCCTGGAAGAGTAGTTAGTCAATGAATATTTGTTGAATGAGTAAATAAATGAAATTTGGAGAAGAATATGCTGATTGACAAATGTAAACATCTGGTCCTCTTGAGAAACCTATTCCCATTGGAAATTAAAGTTTTGGCCTTTGAGTCCCTAATCTGTGCCAGGAACTCCCCACACATGGAATTTTCAAAACAACTCTTTTAGGAGAAATAGCAGTTACAGTTTGCACAAGACACCAAAGACACACTAAGACACCAAAGACACACTATGGCAGAACTATGGTTGGAACCCTGGCCTATCATACTGCTTGGCTCTCATCCTTAAAATTTTTTGTAGTTTAAGGAGATATGTTTCAATTTCTGGAATACTGCTTAGTGTATCACCCCTCATTCACAGATACAGCGTATTTTAAAATCTATCTTGTCCAACTAAACTCCAAGAAGGGAAAAGCCTATGTTTTATTCTTCCTTGTACTTCTTATATCTTCTACAGTAATCGGCACATAGTAGGTGCTCACTAAATCTTAAGCAAAGTAAATCAAATTGAAATTTCAGTGATATGCTTGTATAGAAGAAAAGAAAAACCCTTAAACTTTGGATTGCATTCTGGATAGAGGTTGTGTATTTTAGTAGAAAGAGTTTGGGCTTTGGAGTCACCTGGTCCTGGGTTTGACCCCAAGCTCTGCCACTTATTTGGTGGGTAAGTCAGGGAATAATGTGAGGATAGTAAGTAAAACAGTACCTACCTCTCAGGGCTGTAGTAATTAAGGCGCTAATGTAATGAATTAAGGGGTTAGTATATGTAAAGACCTGCCACATAGGAAGTACTCAGGGGTGAAATAAATATCTTAATTTTTAATTTTAGTAATTTAGTGATTAAAAAATGAAGTAATCACAGATAATTGATGGACAAGGGTAACTTTAAAGGAAATTTGGTTCGTTTTAAAGAAAAGGAAACCAAAACTCAGTGAGGTGTAGCACCCTACCCAACTGCCCACCCTGAGAAAACCAGACCCAAGATTCTAGAAAGGGTGGGCCAGGGAAATGATTGTAGGCTCAGGGATGACTTCTCCTGAACCAGCTTCCCAACTCCATCCTGGCCCCCTGATTGGGGGCCAATGCCCCATTCAGGTGTTACAATCAAGAGAAGAGGGCAGGCAGACTGAGCCCCGGGACCGTCACCTGGGTCTCCTGGTAAATGCTGATCTGCACCCTCACCTTAGCTCTCCACCTTCCAGCAGTCTCTCATTTCTATCTACTTCCCCATTCTCTTTTCATTAAATTTGCTTTTCTTGTTGCACCAGCATCAAGATAAAGACATTTTTGATTCAGTTTTGTTGTTACAATCCACAGCATGTTTTACTCTTTCGATGATAAACTTGCTCTGTGTTAACAAATCATGGGTTAAAAGGGCTTCTGTGGACTAGTGTGGACTGACAGCATACTGATAGCCTTCTGTGGACTGATAGCATGCTGGTATCTTTGTGTGACTTAGCATGAAAACTCAGGAACACAAGACATATTTTCTTTCCCAAAACTTAATTTCTGAAATTGAAACCCTACTCTGTCCTTTTGGTTCACTTAGCCTCATCACTCCATGTGTTGTCCCCTTTCCTGACATGTGTGAGCCAAGATTTCTTAAAAGTGCTGTGGCCTTGGAGAGGATGGCACTTCAGTCCTCAGCTTACACAGTTAATCAGCGAAGTGGAGCAGCAGCATTGGCTGTCCCACCCCACCTGGTCCATGCCCTCTGCACCACCTCCCCGTCCTCTGTTTCTTCACGTCCTGCTCCTGTGTTGCCCTGCGGAAGTTAACACAAGTCCTCTGTGCACTAAGGACCTTCAGCCTCCACTCTTCTCAAGGCAGAAAAAATGTATCTCTAGGAGAAATATTTCTACCTTCAGGACACTCCTTTGCCAACAGATGTCTTTCCCTTAGAGCTTAGGCTTCCGTAAAATAAAAACATGAAAGACAAACTTTCTCCCCTGCCATAGGCTTCCCTGAAAGACAGTGATCAACAAGCCAGCTTAAATTAGGGAAGAGGAAAAGAGGAAAATTTGAGAAGAGGGGAAATAAACATCACCCAGCCCCCTTTCTTTGGAAATACAGATTCAAGATTTCAAACTACTGACCTTCAGGTGAAACTTTGGGGATGTTGAGACTTAAAATGCTCAAATAAAAACCCTGGTGCAAGATGATGCTGTAGCATTCAATGATTCTACAATGTCTTTTTTTCTGTGTGTTTGCCTGCAGGATACCTTAATGAGATGAAAATATGTAGATAAGTATATATAATTTATGTAGATCTTTTAAAATTTTTGTTTTGACATTACAACTGAAGAAAACCGATTTGTAAATAGGATCCAAGATCCTTACTATTTTAAACCATCTCTCATAGTACAAGTGGGGAATAGACATTTTCCTTCTTAGTGTTCACAGGGATGCCCTTGGGTTTCCCTCTCTCGGTCTCAGTGGTGTTTCCTAGAAAAGATCCTCAGAGAAGTTCATGAATATGTCTGTATGAGTTAGGGAAAGCATGGCATTCAGTTTGTAACTTCTGCAATCATCAAGTTAAAATAGAAAATAGAATGATGCGTCTAGCTCTTATTCACTTGATGCTTACTAATTTTAAAAAATTGATTTAAAAAAAATTGATGTTTACTTCATTTTTTTATGATAGGAAAAGAACATCCCTCTTGAAAGATAAACATATTAAAAATCCTTTGAATTTTGTTGCTAAAATACTTATTAACAAACACATCTTATTTCCAAACACATCTTTTTTTTAGATCTCATGGTGGATGTTCCCGGACATGGAAAGGTGGTGGTGGACATTGCATATGGCGGTGCATTTTATGCATTTGTTAGTGCTGAAAAGTTAGGACTAGACATTTGTTCTGCAAAGACCAGGGACCTTGTGGATGCAGCGAGTACGGTAACAGAGGCAGTGAAAGCTCAGGTCAGTATTACTCTGCTTTCATAACCAATGCCCTTCTCTGTGGCATGGAGGAAATATACATTATTAGGTCTATAAAGAAAATTAAATGATGTTTAAATTATTAGTAGTACTAAGAATAGGGTACTTATTAAAATCTTAGCCTCCAAAGCAAGCTTGTCCAACCCATGGCCTGCGAGCCACATGCAACCCAGAATGGCTTTGAGTGTGGCCCAAAACAAATTTCTTAAACCTTCTTAAAACATTATGAGTTTTGCAATTTTTTGTGGCTCGTCAGCTCTCATTAGTGTTAGTGTGGCCCTAATCTTATGTGTGGCCCAAGACAATTCTTCTCTTCCAGTGTGGCCCAGGAAAACCAAAAGATTGGACACCCCTGCTCTAGAGCAAAACTCTCTATGAATTCTAGCTTTACCACTTGTAATGTATATAACTTTGGACAAGTTACATAACCTCCATATGCCTCAGTTTTCCTGTCTGCAAAATGGAAATTAAAAAATACCTGCTTTGTAGGGTTGTGAGAATGAAATAAGTCAATAAATGTAAAGGACTTAGAGTAGTGTCTGGCCAATAGTAAATGTTCAGTAAATTATAATATTATTTTTTTGAGACAAGGTCTTGCTCTGTCACCCAGGCTGTAGTGGAGTGGTGTGATCAAAGCTTGCTGTAACCTCAAATTCCCAGGCTCAAAATGATGCTTCTGCCTCAGCCTCCAGAGTAGCTGGGACCACAGGCATGCCCCATCACACCCAGCTAAATCTGTGTGTGAGTGTGAGTGTGTGCGTGTGTGTGTTTATACAGAGACAGGATCTCACTATGTTGCCCAGGCTGGCCTCAAACTCCTGGCATCAAGTGATCCTCCCAACTCGGCCTCCCAAAGTGCTGGGATTATAGGTGTGAGCCATCACACCCAGCAATTACTAAATTTAATAATACATACATACTAATATAGTTTATAGTTCCTTAAATGTGTAGAAATGTATTTATAGAATTGTACAAATTTTAAATGCATGTGTGTGGTCATTCTGTAAAACTTGAATAATAAATGTAAAATATAGCATACAAAATGGATTTAAACCTTTTTCTTATTTCATAGAGAACATTAATTCCTATTATTTTTTTCCTATATTGCTAAGAAGTTACTCAAATAACTACTTAAATAACTCTAGTTTTTACTTGGGAAAGCTATTTTGATAAAATCAGTTTAGATAATAAATAATTCTAGAATATTCTTTCACTTCTAGCACAAGTGAAGCACATTTTACCTTGAAATTGGGACCTATAAATAAAGCACATGTACAGTATTTGAATGTTTAGTATGTGAGAATTTATTGGTAGTAAAAAGTAACTTGTGTAAGATAGTGTCTAATGTACTAATAATTATTATGTTCTGAAGCTTTATTTTAAAATAATTTATAACTTAAATAACAAAATGAGAATATATACTGTATCAGTATTATAAATTATTTTTCTGGTACTGCCAGTACCAATATATGTAATTATATTATGATAGTAACTTTTGAAGCTCTGAATGTACATTAATTTTCTGTTCCATTAAGCAGGACAGCTAATAGTTTGAGTTAACAACTTGGCACAAAATAATTTCTCCTAATTTTTAATGAATTGAAGAGAAAAAGTCATGGATATCTTAATAAAAGGTGTAATTTTGTCCTTCTCATTTGAGTTTGAACTCAACAAGGTGGCAAGGGGTCGACTTTGAGGGAGGAAGGATTCTGAGAAAAATGAGGACAAGTTCTATTATTGATGTATCAGACAGTACAATTAATTACTCTGTGAACTGTTGACCATTCACACTGCTGAAGCAGATTTAGGAAAAGGCCATGGGGATGGAGAGTTAAAGTTAATATAAATTCATCTTCGTTCATTCACTCTTTTAACAAACATTTACCAAAAACATACTGTATGGATGTTAGACACTATGCTAGATCCGAGAGAACAAACTCCATCTTCGAGGAGCTAGCTCCAGTGGGGGAAGCAAGCATTGTGTTGGAATGTGCTATAGTGGAGGTGGGGCATATCGCTTTAAGAGGATGGAGAACAAAGATTCAATCTGCAGGAGACTTTAACGTGGTTTCAGATGGACTCTTTGGATGTTAAGAACCCAAAGCTGTTCCATTGCTTTAAATGACATGTAACTGGAAGTAGAAAGTACTAATTATAAGGATATACAAGGGAAGTAAGATTATAGCAATCTCAGTCATACTACAAATGTTTGCAGAAATCCAGGAAAAGTTAAAGAACTAGACTTCCAAGAACAAGTAGCTTTGCACATTTGGACCTGAATCTACCATTGAGTGACTTAGTTACCCTGCCAGTGCCTGCTTCTTTGTGTGCATATCTACTGCTTTTTGATGAATCAACTGACTTCATTGGCTACAATAAATCTATTTTTCATCCAATTGTTTCTCTTACCTAATAGCTTCTGCATTCTTACAGAATGTTATGTCCTCTCACAGCCTTTGTCTCTATCATTGATATTAACTTCAGCTCTAGATACTCAGAGCCTGATTTTCCCACATTATCCTTCGTAAGCTTCTGAGAATAAGACTATGATTGCCTTAGCTCATCCTGTTGGAGAAGCCATCACCAGCCTGTGGATTGACCATCCTGGGGTCAGTGCTGCAAAGACTATGTGTATTTGGGGTGGCAGGGGTGTATAAAATAGGACTACTTTTTTTAGCAAAGGCTACATGCAGGACAGCTTCCTTAGAAGGGACTCAAAGTATGATAATAATTATAACTTCCAATAAAGTTGTTACTTCATCTAGACAACGACATAATTTCTAGCAATTAGTATACGTTGCCCGAAACGGTATTTTAAAAATGATGATTAAAAAGTTACGTCTAAAAATGACCCATCTGCATTATTTATAAAGATAAATTTGAATCAAAATATTTATTTTTTGTGTGGTTGTTTTTTTTGTTATTTGCAGTTTAAAATTAATCATCCTGATAGTGAAGACCTTGCCTTTTTATATGGAACCATATTAACAGATGGAAAAGATGCTTATACCAAGGAACCAACCACCAACATTTGTGTTTTTGCAGATGAACAGGTATTAAAACCGAATGTTTAGGGACAAACGCCAGGTAATATGGAACTAAAACATTATGAACATTCTATCTTCATTTATTCTGAAACAGGTTGACAGAAGTCCCACTGGCTCGGGAGTGACAGCCCGAATTGCCTTACAGTATCACAAAGGGCTTCTGGAACTGAACCAGACCAGAGCCTTCAAAAGCAGTACCACTGGCTCAGTATTCACAGGGAAAGCTGTGAGGGTAAGTGACACCGTTCGCTTCTTATTTATAAATGTGTCACTCATGAGACTGAAGAGGCCTGAGTTGGGTGTTTGATAAATTTCTTCAGTCAGCTTTCAGAAGAGAATTTTAAAGCAGGCCTGTAAAAACTTCTTTTTAACTAGGACATTGGTTCTCCAGTGTGGTCTTGGGACCCCAGGGGGCCCCTAAGTTCCTTTCCATGGGTTCAGAAGGTCAAAACTATGTTTACAATAATGACATTACTTGCTTTTCACTCTCATTCTCTCAAGATTGTACAGTGGAGTTCTTCAGAGGCTACGTGATGTATGATAACCCAACCAATTGAATGCAGAAGCTAGATATGAGAACCTAGTTGTCTTCTATTAAGCCAGACATGAAAGAAGTTTGCAAAAATATCAAACATTGCCAGTTTTCTCATAAATTTTTTTTTGTTTTGGCAAACATAGTTATTTTCACAAAAATATGGGTTTGTTATTTTTAAAATGAAGTAATGAACAGATATATCTAATTCCTAATACAGTAAATATTGATAGATAAAACTTATATAAAGAAAAACTCTTTGGGGTCCTCAAATCTTAAGGTATAAAAAGGTCCTGAGACCAAAAGGTTTAAGAACTACTAAATCAGGGTTTGGGTTTTTTTTGTTGTTTGTTTTTTGTTTTATTTTATATTAGTGTTTTATTTGATATAATAGGATGTGAAAGCCCTGAAAAGTTGTGGAACATCAAATTTTTGTAATGGAATAAAATTTTAAATGTGCTAACTGCTAAGTAATGAATCTCAGTAGTAAATGAAATCTACTACAGAATGATTGATCTACATTCAGTAAATTATTCTACTCATAAAGAGTCCTTTAACATAGCAAACAATCTACCCTAATATAGCTGTTTTTAAGATTTGGTGTTTCTCAATATTAGAGTTTCCTTAAAGATCTCTACATCATATAGCAATCTTAGACATGTGAAACCATTTATGTTGTATGCAAAAATTTGGAACACACTGTCTTCAGAATCTGAAATGGAACATAAAAATAATAACATACATTTATTGGATACTTCACTGTTCATCAGTTTTCAAGCTAAACACTTGATACATGCCATCTCATTTAATCCTCACAAGAATCCTACAAGGTCAGTACTGTACTGTTGTTATCCTTTTAAATAGATGATAAAATGGAGAATTGGAGAAGTTAGGTAATTTGCCAGAGGTTAGTTAGTGAGTAGCAGATCCAGGTCATGAACGTGGGTCTCTCTGAACAGACCAAAGCATTACATTATATTGCTGTCAGAGCAAAAGGTCAATGAGGCTTTATATTATAGGAACTGTTATGAGAAGAATCTGGGACTGCAATGTCCCCCTAAATAGAGAGGGAGCCGAGAGACCAAAGAATGACTCAGACACGTCCAGGTTGGCAAGTCGATGCATTTATTAGAACTTCCATACAAGGCACTCCTGGGAAGCAGCTGAACAACTATGGAGACCCATCCTGCCTCCTGACTCTAAGCTGCTTTTAAGCTAATTTTCTGGCTCTTTGCCTACTGTGTATGTGTGATAGGACTGTTTTCCTTGGTATGTTCCCAGATATTCTCTGGGATATTTGGGTTCTCAGGGATACCTGCTCCTTGGCTGGGCGCCATGCCCTTGGCTTACCCCCCCAGCCTTCAGGGTTCAAGCAGTGCACGTACATCCTTACATAACCTGGTGAAGGACCTGTCACACTACAGCAACTTTATAAAAAGATAAAGTATTATACACCAACAATATTTGACATTTTACCTTTCGCTTCAGTTATTCTTCTTTTAAAAAGTAGAACATAAAAAGATATGCTGAAGTTAATGTTTCCAGTTATTTGTTTTATAGTTATTGATCATGCTTGCCAGAACGTCTTCACTTGCATCATGCTCTCTCCCTGTCTGTGTGGGCCTGTCCAGGCTCCCTGATGGTACCTTTTCAGTTTCTTCACCTGTCCCAGCTTCCTTTCCCTGTCCTTCCATTTAGATGTTCCCATCACTTCATCCTCAGCTTCCTTCTCATCTCATCTACAGTTTGATGCTGCTGGGCAATTTCATCCACTTCCTAGGCTTTAGTTTTCAACTATCTACTGATGATGACTCCCAAACCTTTATCCCTGCCCTGCCTACCTACCCTGTATGTCTTTCAGAATATAATGCACTTAATCCCGACTGTTCATTATACTCATCTCTAAATGACTGTCCCAGAGGTGTCTCAAACTCACCTTGTTAAAAAGTTCTTCCTTCCTTCCTTTCTCAAATGTGCTCTTCCTTTCTCTCCCCATTATGGTTAATGCCATCACTAGCATCATTTCCAAGCTAGAAACTATGGTTATAATTAACTTATTGCTAGTCCTCAGTTCCCACATGCATTGGTCAAGAGGCCTATCAGTTCTACCTCCAAACTGTCTCTGTGTTAGTATATATTCTCCTTCTCCATCTTCACTGAAAACTCCCGTAGTGACTGTGGAATCATTCAGTGAATTGAGGTTATCTCTTAACATGTTTCTGGGTCTTTTGTCTCTCTCTTTTCCAGTTTGATCCCCATTTTACAGCTACAGTTATCTAAAACACAAGTCTGACCATGTCACTCTCCTTAAAAACCTTCCCTTGCCCGTAGGATTTCCTTGCCATTCCTTCACATGATAAAAGTCAAGAGTACAATTTTCAAGCCAGATACAATATGAGTGCAATATTTTGATAGTATACTCCATCTTTTTTCAGGAAGCGAAATGTGGTGATTTTAAAGCTGTTATAGTGGAAGTATCAGGACAAGCCCATTACACGGGTACAGCAAGCTTTATAGTAGAAGATGACGACCCACTGAGGGATGGATTTCTTCTCAAGTGACTTCTTCCATGATTTTAAGGGCTTTCTTTTTAAAGTAATCATTATCCATAATGATTGTTTTCTCTAAATTATGTGAAAACCAATAATCAAATTATACATATAAACTAACTTTCTTTCTAAAATACTACCCTGTGACTAAATATAAAGTCATTATACCTCATATTTGCAACTGTATTTTGGTATAAATATCACTTATGTCTAGCATACAAAATGCCAGAAATGCAGTCTTTTTCTCGTGATTAACACATCAGGTAAAATTAAAGCAGTAGTTACTTTTAAAATATTGCTCTATGGTAATTACTATTAATATCATATTTTGTTTTAAAGACTCTTTGAATAATATGTGGAATTTAACAATGAACTTTACAAGCTCATTATTTTTGTCTTCCATTTTTTTTGAGTAGAATAATGTCTTCTCTATAAGCAGCATGTAAAGGAGATGGATTATTATAAAGTACTCAACACTTAGCACAATAGCCTGGGAAGGATGGGGTTGGAGTCAGCTTCTTTGTTACAGCTGCTGCTAGGGTGTTCTCTGTGGTGCAAAGCCCAGCGTCTACACCCACAGGTAATGAAGTATCAGAGACTGATGCTAAGAAGACCAACTAGTAATCAGACTTGTGCTGTATCTTTAGGGCTTTTATAAAAGGGGTTGCTTATTGCATTATTAAAATGCAGATATACAGTAGAAATTAAGCAGTGAATCCTTACAATGGAATGAGTCTCATACTCTATCAGCTGCATGCTAGGTAGATTTAAAACATGAAATAAATGCTTACGATTGGCATTCCTTCTAGTTAATACTTATCTATGAGCCTGTTAAAAATAGCTGAAGCATTAAATATTCTAAGATGTGATGCTCTCCGAGAATTCAGTAGACTCTTTTGTGAGATAGGTAATAGTATTTTATTTCGGAGCATCCAGAAACTGAAGTAATTAATTCATTTAACTGGCTTTATCACCCAGAGAGTCTGTATAGGCCTTATTATTAGGTCTGTGATTTAATTACCTGACCAAAAGGAAAGCTATCATGTTAATGTTTTTTATTTCTCTATTACACAAAAACAGTGAGGATGTTTTTCACTCATTCTCCACAGAATTCTGTAGTAAATAAATCACTTACCTAAAAAAAATGACATTATCACTAACTCAGTATGACCAAATAATTTTTGCAGATCAGATTTGCTATACTTAAAAAAAAAATAATAATAAAAACGGAACCGTTATTTTCCCTCTGAATCTCACAAGTCACATGAATTTGAAGGAAAATTGTTTAAAAATTACATTTTGTAGCATTTTATAATCTATCAGGCACATACTGAAGTACATTCAGAAATGCATATTATGATTCCATGGCCATCAAGGTAGGGGGTAGTTTTACTCACTGACCTTGTTTAGAATTGTCAGCACTTGGTGATATTAAAAAGACTTTTAGTTGGTTTTAGTATTGTTCTAAAATTCTCTGAAGACGGCACACCCCTTTATCAACTGCACCAGGGAAAACTACTACTCCTGCCCTAGCCATGGTATGCCACTGTTTTTATCCCATTTATCCATTTAAGGCAGATGCAAGTCGAACATGTTAAATAACTCTCCTAAGGTCATTTAGAGGCTGCAAATCTAGGAGTTCTGACTCCAAGTCTAGTATTTTCCTACAACACTTCCTCCAATTCTAAGATAGGATGGCCATAACTTGGTCTAGGACATAGTACTGTAATAATAAGAATGTTATATTTCTTGAACATTAAACAATATCTATTACCTAAGTCTTCCTAAATTTCAATCCAAACCAGAGCTGAACCCTTGCAATAGTGTTCATTCCTGCTGTACTTCACCCTGGTTCCCTTGAAGTAAAAAACATTAGGGAAATCAACTCCTCCTCCTCTGACCTCCACATGTCTAGTCAGTCACAAAGCCCTGTTGATTCTGCCTTCTTAATACTGCTCACATCTATCCCTTCCCATCTCAGTGAGGGTGTTGCCTCATCAATTAACATCTTTCAGGTGTCTCCAATCTCCTGCCCCCCCCCCACTTGTTCCTTCCCCTAAGTATTTAAATGTGCTGATTGTAAACAAAATGAAACAAACATCCCTGTCCCTCCTTCCCTCTGTAGATGGCTGTCACTGCTAACTCCTTCCC